CTTCACTCTGACCATTTGCCGCATCAACACATTCTAATGCATTGTGCTTCAGTGACACTCAGTGAAAAACTGCGGCAATGATGAGGGAGCAAAATGTCGTTGAACCATGTTGAACCCTTCCACTTCGCAACACAACTTTTGACTGCTTGGAAAGACCTTGTTCAAACACTGCACCTGCCTCGGCAATCACTTCAGAAAGTGGCAACACCTGCCGGAAGCCAAGCTCTAAGGATTCCAAGGTATGGCATTCAGAAATTCAATGTTCCAACATGTTTCAATGATTTTTAATGATTTTCAATGTATGTTTCACTTGCACCAGGTGGCATGTTAAGGTTTCGGGTTCCTTTATGTTCAGCTGGAACTACTGGTTGATGATGGGCATGAGTTATGAGCAAAATACCATGGGGAAAGGTCCAAACTTGAGTCCTTGAAGGTTGGTAAACGAAAGGCCAAGAAAAAAGATGTGGGAGCGGAGAAGGCATAGAAAGCCATGGGCGCTAGCAATGAGAAGGGAGATGCGAAGGGTAGCGTGGAGGAAGGTGGCAAGATGGTAAGAGCAAGGTGGAGTGGAGTGACTAAGTGGGAAGGAGTTGGGTGGATCGCTGGATGAAATGAATCCATATCAAAGTGTGCATGACAAATTGCGGGTTTGGCAATTGGACTGCTCCACATCCCTTGCTAAAGCAAGAAAAAAACATGACAAAAATCAAGCTTGCTACCACTAGCTTTCGTGACAACACATTGTTCAAACCCACTGCCTCTGCCTCGACTGGCTCAGGAGGGCCCTGCAATGAGCACAGGCAGAAAGCAAATCCTGTGGGCTAAATTATGAAATCTTAATGTTTCATTGCTTCACTCTGACCATTTGCCGCAGCAACACATTCTAATGCATTGTGCTTCAGTGACACTCAGTGACAACAACTGCGGCAATGATGAAGGAGTAAAATGTTGTTGAACCATGTTGAACCATGTTGAACCCTTCCACTTCGCAACACAACTTTTGACTGCTTGGAAAGACCTTGTTCAAACACTGCACCTGCCTCGGCAATCACTTCAGAAAGTGGCAACACCTGCCGGAAGCCAAGCTCTAAGGATTCCAAGGTATGGCATTCAATGTTTCAATGTTTCAATGATTTTCAACGATTTTCAATGTATGTTTCACTTGCACCAGGTGGCATGTTAAGGTTTCGGGTTCCTTTATGTTCAGCTGGAACTACTGGTTGATGATGGGCATGAGTTATGAGCAACATACCATGGGGAAAGGTCCAAACTTGAGTCCTTGAGGGTTGGTAAACGAAAGGCCAAGAAAAAAGATGTGGGAGCGGAGAAGGCATAGAAAGTCATGGGCGCTAGCAATGAGAAGGGAGATGCGAAGGGTAGCGTGGAGGAAGGTGGCAAGATGGTCAGAGCAAGGTGGAGTGGAGTGACTAAGTGGGAAGGAGTTGGGTGGATCGCTGGATGAAATGAATCCATACCAAAGTGTGCAGGACAAATTGCGGGTTTGGCAATTGGACTGCTCCACATCCCTTGCTAAAGCAAGAAAAAAACATGAAACAAATCAAGCTTGCTACATCTAGCTTGGGTGACAAGACATTGTTCAAACCCACTGCCTCTGCCTCGACTGGCTCAGGAGGGCCCTGCAATGAGCACAGGCAGAAAGCAAAATCCTGTGTGCTAAATTATGAAACCTTAATGTTTCATTGCTTCACTCTGACCACTTCCCGCATCAACACCTCCAGTGCATTGTGATTCAGTGACACTCAGTGACAACAACTGCGGCAATGATGAGGGAGCAAAATGCCGTTGAACCATGTTGAACCCTTCCACTTCGCAACACAACTTTTGACTGCTTGGAAAGACCTCGTTCAAACACTGCACCTGCCTCGGCAATCACTTCAGAAAGTGGCAACACCTGCCGGAAGCCAAGCTCTAAGGATTCCAAGGTATGGCATTCAGAAATTCAATGTTTCAACATGTTTCAATGATTTTCAATGATTTTCAATGATTTTCAATGTATGTTTCACTTGCACCAGGTGGCATGTTAAGGTTTCGGGTTCCTTTATGTTCAGCTGGAACTACTGGTTGATGATGGGCATGAGTTATGAGCAAAATACCATGGGGAAAGGTCCAAACTTGAGTCCTTGAGGGTTGGTAAACAAAAGGCCAAGAAAAAGATGTGGGAGCGGAGAAGGCATAGAAAGCCATGGGCGCTAGCAATGAGAGGGGAGATGCGAAGGGTAGCGTGGAGGAAGGTGGCAAGATGGTAAGAGCAAGGTGGAGTGGAGTGACTAAGTGGGAAGGAGTTGGGTGGATCGCTGGAAGAAATGAATCCATATCAAAGTGTGCATGACAAATTGCGGGTTTGGCAATTGGACTGCTCCACATCCCTTGCTAAAGCAAGAAAATAACATGAAAAAAATCAAGCTCGCTATCACTAGCTTTTGTGGCAAGACATTGTTCAAACCCACTGCCTCTGCCTCGACTGGCTCAGGAGGGCCCTGCAATGAGCACAGGCAGAAAGCAAAATCCTGTGGGCTAAATTATGAAATCTTAATGTTTCATTGCTTCACTCTGACCATTTGCCGCATCAACACATTCTAATGCATTGTGCTTCAGTGACACTCAGTGAAAAACTGCGGCAATGATGAGGGAGCAAAATGTCGTTGAACCATGTTGAACCCTTCCACTTCGCAACACAACTTTTGACTGCTTGGAAAGACCTTGTTCAAACACTGCACCTGCCTCGGCAATCACTTCAGAAAGTGGCAACACCTGCCGGAAGCCAAGCTCTAAGGATTCCAAGGTATGGCATTCAGAAATTCAATGTTCCAACATGTTTCAATGATTTTTAATGATTTTCAATGTATGTTTCACTTGCACCAGGTGGCATGTTAAGGTTTCGGGTTCCTTTATGTTCAGCTGGAACTACTGGTTGATGATGGGCATGAGTTATGAGCAAAATACCATGGGGAAAGGTCCAAACTTGAGTCCTTGAGGGTTGGTAAACGAAAGGCCAAGAAAAAAGATGTGGGAGCGGAGAAGGCATAGAAAGCCATGGGCGCTAGCAATGAGAAGGGAGATGCGAAGGGTAACGTGGAGGAAGGTGGCAAGATGGTCAGAGCGAGGTGGAGTGGAGTGACTAAGTGGGAAGGAGTTGGGTGGATCGCTGGAAGAAATGAATCCATACCAAAGTGTGCAGGACAAATTGCGGGTTTGGCAATTGGACTGCTCCACATCCCTTGCTAAAGCAAGAAAAAAACATGAAACAAATCAAGCTTGCTACATCTAGCTTGGGTGACAAGACATTGTTCAAACCCACTGCCTCTGCCTCGACTGGCTCAGGAGGGCCCTGCAATGAGCACAGGCAGAAAGCAAAATCCTGTGTGCTAAATTATGATTTCATTGCTTCACTCTGACCATTTGCCGCAGCAACACATTCTAATGCATTGTGCTTCAGTGACACTCAGTGACAACAACTGCGGCAATGATGAAGGAGTAAAATGTTGTTGAACCATGTTGAACCCTTCCACTTCGCAACACAACTTTTGACTGCTTGGAAAGACCTTGTTCAAACACTACACCTGCCTCGGCAATCACTTCAGAAAGTGGCAACACCTGCCGGAAGCCAAGCTCTAAGGATTCCAAGGTATGGCATTCAGAAATTCAATGTTTCAATGTTCCAACATGTTTCAATGT